CTAGATATTTAGGAATTAAATTTCATTTAGAAAAATGAAGACATATGTTCACACCAAGATCTGGAAGCAAATATTTATAGAAGCTGAGTTCATAATGGCCAAAAAACATGCAAAACAACCCCCAAAAACAATAAACTGAAAACAGCCGAAATGTCCAAAATGGATAAACAAATTGTGGTACATCCATTAAATGGAATACTAGTTAGCAGTAGAAAGGAACACATTACTGATACATGTAACAAGGTGGATGAATCTCAGAGACATGATAAGTAAAAAAACTGGACACAAAAGGCTACATACTGTATCATTTCATTTATGTGACATTCTGGGAAAGGCAAAGCTAAGGAAACAAATTAAATCAATGGTTATTAGGGATTGGGGTAGAGGCAGGGGAGAAAGTGCTAGCTGGCATAAAGGAACTTTTGAGAGCAATGCAAAGGTTATATATCTTGAATATGGTGGTGGCTATAGGATTTCATATACTTTCCAAAACTCATGAAAGTGTAAACTTTAAAAAAGGTGAATTTGATCTGATTGAATTACTGGACTGAATTTACCAGTTTGAAGTAGGCCTAACTAAAAAACAACAACAACAACAACAACAAAAAAACCCAAAACAAAACACCAAGGAAAATAATAAATCCAGCAAAGGAAGAAAGAAAAGAAAGAAAGAAAGAAAGATGAAAGAAAGAAAAATTAGCAAAAGCATATCTATATATAGAATTTTCTATACCAGATGGTGAGCTGCTGATTTTAAATTTTGATAGGTAAGGCCAAATTGTCCTCCAAAATGGCTATACCAATTTATACCTCCACCAGTAGAATGTGAGAATGCCTATTTCCCCATGCTTTGGCACAAATGGATATAATCAATTTTTTAAAAGTTCTGTCTATTTGATGGTGAAAAATGTTATGATCCTGATACTTCAGGCATGCACAGTTAAGCTCTTGGCCTAATTGGTCTCTCTCCACTTGCAGTCTTTTCTCTCTCCAAATCATCTTATATATTGTTAATAGAGTAATCCTTCTTGTGCCTGGTTCTAATAATATCTCATGAAAATTATTAACGATACCCTACTGCCTACAAAATTCTGTCCAGACCCCTTAGCCAGATATTTGCGTCCTTGTTCTACCCCAGCTCCTACTTTCTCTCTTCTCTATGACTGTCTTCTCATTTTTAGCAGAAAAGGTTGACTCAAACCTCTAGTTCAATGGTTCTTACTCCCTTTTCTTTCCAACTTTTTGGGGGTACAGTTGATACATAACATTGTACAAGTTTAAGGTATACAATGTGATGATTTGATACACGTATATTTTAGGTAAGGTAGGCATAATCAAGGCTGTCATCAGAGAAGAAAGACTGAGGTTTGAGAGTAACCTTTTCCCCAAGATGACAAACTTCTGTATGAGAGAGCAGAGCTCAGAACTTAGCTATTCTGATTTCCAGTCCAGGGCTCTCCGTTTTACCCCCTCCTGTCTTCCAGCCATCTCCAACTTTCAGGAGGTCAGTCTGTCCTTCCCGTTTCTATTCTACTCCTCAGAGTGAAGGGGCCCAGGTCAAAAATACAACTAACGGCTTCCATAGCATTTGTTGAAATATCAGAAAGTTACATGCCACGCAAGCAACCTATTAAATATTACTCTCCTCCTCCCTTGACTGACACACCTTCAAAATGACCTGGTAGGCTAGGTTCAAAAGCAGAGGGGCACCTGGAGGCCTCAGTCGGTTAAGCGGCTGCCTTTGGCTCAGGTCGTGATCTCAGGGTCCTGGGATGGGGTCCTGCATCGGGCTCCCTGCTCAGCCGGCAGTCTGCTTCTCCCTCTGCCTCTGTGCTCTCTCTCTCTCAAGTAAATAAATAAAATCTTTAAAAAGAAAAACAACAAACCAAAAGCAGAATCCCCAGACTCCTTGAAAGTCTGAGCAGCCAAGTTAGAGTCATATGAATATGAATATGGAGCTTGTTTCACCCTCTCTCCCCACTCCTGGTTCTTGGCTTCATTCCCTTGGGCTTCATGGGCTCATCTCACCCTACCTGCATGTTTGAGTTCCCTTACTTCCCTGCAAACAACTACCCACGGCTGCTCCTTGGGACCAGACATACCTCGGCCCACCCACCCTTTGGGAGGAAGAGGCCACAGAGGCCCTGAAAGTGAATGTGGGGCCAACTGGTAGGGAATTCTGGGCTCCTGGGTACTGAGTGGGCTCCTGGTGGGGTGTTCCTTTGGCTTCTCAGACTCCTTGTCCTGTGGGGAGAGGTGCAGTTGGAGGAGGCCCACTCTGTGGGGGCCTCCGGTAAACTGGGCCCCATTGTGCTTAGGTCTAAGGGTGGCACTGATCCTAACTCCCTCCCCAAATCATTCAGCACACCTTTGGAGGACCCAGGCTGATTCTCCCCCCTCCCCCAGAGATCGTATTTTACTGGAAAACAGGAGATGGGAATTCTAGTTGGGGCTCAGCCCTAGGTAAATAAACTCACCTCCCTGGTTTGTTTCTTTCTCTGTACAATGAAAATTGTATGAGATAATCTCCAAAATCACTATTTTAATCTTTTATATCCCCTCCCCCCCAGCACTAACAGGTCATAGTACGGGCTCAGAAGTGTTTGCTAGATTTATTTTTTGCATCATTTGGTATGAGTACCCTAAGGTCTTGTCTTAATCTCAGACACAAGTGTGTATGGATGCGTGTGTTTACATATATATGTGCCCCTACCTTGTACCACTCAGTCTGCCTTGGACTTCCAAGTCACACAACCCCCTAGCTGGATGGTTCGAGCCCCAGGAGACATTTTCTTAGACACTCAAGCAGAATGCATTAAATCCTAACAGAAGGAACATTCAGTTTTATGCCTTCAGAGCTTGGAAACTAGGAGACCCTAGGGGTCTTTCTATAGAGAGTTGGTGACCTTGAGTCATTTCTGGTATCTCAAAGTTGCAATTGTTATTTCCCATTGATGTCAATCCCTTCTTAATGGCTTGGCCAACATTTTATCTTCTTTGAATTGGCTGAGAATGGAAAGGGAGCCTTCTTTCTCTGATACCCCAGGTACTAGTGTAGGTGGGAGCTTCCTGGAGGCTGGGGCCAAATCTGAAAGGTTGAACCACTTCACTGGGCAGGTGGATACTCTGGTTCAAGTCAACAAATGTACAATGAGGGTTTACTGGTGCTATGGGAATCCCTAAGCAGGATGACACCATCTTCGAACTTCATATTAATTTGGTCGGAGAGGCAAAACATAAATTCATAAAAGATAAAATAATACAACAGGACAGGACAATTTAAGAATCACCCAAGGCAGTGGTTTGTAGTCAAATGACATGTTTACACAATGAGTTCAGAGGATGAAGAAAGGCATGAACAAGAGGTCCTAGATCTCGGGCCAAGGTATCCCGGGCCAGACATGCCTGAATCGGCAGTGTTTTCACAGGGGAGCTCACCTGGAGATTATGGGCTGAAGGCAAGGTTTGCAAAATCCTCTGGAAGCTGGTGGGGAATCAGTTGTTAAGAACATGGGACTGTTTATGATGGGGAGGCTTAATAAAGTACAAAACAAATTAGGAACATCAACAAGGCTATCTTTAACCTTTATTCTCGATTATCTTCCTTGAAACTAACAGGTAGGTACTTCTAGGAGGGTTCCTCAGCCTTCTTCAGAGGAAGGGCTATCACTGATTCTCCAATAATCTCACCAGAGGGTAAGTTGCCTGGGCCTAGTAGGGGAACGGGACTGGAGAGCAACTGGGACCCTTTTACCAATGAAGATGATTCACATTTTTCACTAACCACTATAGCTTCCCAGGCAATAAGATAGTCTCCCCAACTCACATCTTTAGTCCCCTGCGTGGTGCAAGCCTTCTAAGAGGATGCAAAGATCCAAAATTGCCAATTCCACGTTCCAAGACCTTTACACCAGGTGTCTTCAGAGTTAGATGCCTGGCACGTAGCAGTTACTTGACAAATGTTAACCGCCTTCTTGACTTTCCTCGTTTCCCCTCCATTCCCAAACTCTGACTCCCCAAACGCTTATCATCTGACCTTCTCTCTATTGCCCAAGAGAGCTGCTTTCCCTAAAAGGGCCTGGACGTGCGCGGTTCTTTCCAGCTCCGCCGCAATTCAACCGAATTCAGCTCAATCAGCAGGCACCTACTGAAGGCCTACTACGTGTGGGGTTTGCGGGCCTCCCAGGCCCAGAGTGTCCTGTCCTTCCTTAACGACCCAGACAGGAGGCAGAACCTCTAGAGGGAGAAAGGATGGGCAGAGCTGTGTGCGCGCATCTCCCACCTCCTCGACTGCACGTCGAAGGGAGCCCGACCTTGCCTTTGCTTTGTCCCCTCTGCAGCCCCGAAGGCTGTCCTCCGAACGCAGGCGCCCCACTCACACCTGCTGCCCCGCACAGAAAGGAGCAGAGCGAAGCCAGGCGCCAGGGGAGGAGCGAGAGGCCCGCCGCTCTCCGGGCTTGCCAGGTTTTCCGGCTCTGACCCCTCCTCACCGGCCTCCCTCCCTCCGGGCGCCCCCGGGAGCGGAACGCGCGGGCCACCCGGGCGGCGGGCCCGGTGTTCCGTGCGGGGCGGGGCGGCCCAGGCCTCCCGCGCCTCCCCCCGCTCACGGCGCCCCCTCCCGGGAGGCGGGTCCTGGGGAGACCGGGCACCGGCCCCGCGCGGCGCAGCCTCGGCGCGCCCGAGCCCCGCGCTCGCCGCCTGGCCGCCCCGCAGGCAGGCGCCCGGCCGGCCGGGAGGTGGTGCTCGCCTCCCCGCGCCCGGGCCCGCGCGTTGCAGAGCAGCGGCTCGGAGGCTCCGAAGGGGGCGGAGCGGCGAGGCGGGCGTGCGGCTGGCGGCCCCTGTCCGCGGTTCCGGCCCCCGGCCCGCCCCCGCCTCGCCGGCCTCCCTCCGCGCCGGTGCGCGGCGCCCCGTCCCAGCCGCAGCCGCAGCCGCAGCGGCCGCCCCTCCCGGGCCCGAGAGCAGCCGAGCCGCGAGGCCGGGCCGGGGCGCCGGCCGGGACTGCCGGGGGCGCGGCGCCGACGCCGAGGCGCGGCCATGGAGGGGAAGACCCGCGCCGGGGTCGCGCTGGTGCCGGGGCCGAGCGGCCGCGGGCCTTCCGCCCGCCGCGCCCGCCGCGCCCGCCGCCGCCCGGGGCCGCTGCTCCCCGGCCTCTGGCTGCTGCTGCTGGCCCGGCCGGCCTCGTGCGCCCCAGGTAAGCCCCGCCGAGACCCTCGGGCCGCGACCCTGCCTTTTCTTATTGCTGTTATTTTCAAAAATCCTGCTTTCCCCGCCCACCCTCTTTTATTCTCCACCGCTCCCTAGCCCTCCTTTCTTGAGATGCTCTTCCGTTCTTCTTGGGCCCAGCAAATAAAAGGCACGGCGAAAATAAAACGAAAAAGCGAACGGATTCTGGCCAGTCTCGCTCAAGGTCTGCGAAGCTCTCCTGTTATTCACGGAGCTCGAGGCGGGTCCTGTGGCTTCTCCGAATGTGCCTTTATTTTCTCTGCAAAATGCAGGCGCGGGAATTGTATTTGTGCGTGGCTGTTATCAGTGTGGTGTATCAGATGTTTGGGAATACTTCATTGTAGGGGCGAAGGGGTACATTCGGTGTGTGGGCTTTAGAAACAGTATTGCATTACTCTGAGTAGCCCGGCGTCGCCCAGATGCAGGCAGGCTGGCGGTGTCCCCCGGACACAAAGAACATTCAAAGAAAATCTCTTGGAAAGCGCCCTGGCCATGGATCTTTCCAGGGAAATAGCTATTGCTATTACTTCTGCAAAGGCATCAGTACAATAGAGTGGGAAAATATTGTGATTCTTCAGTGTCAGGGCATGAAAGGACTAAGGGTTGTTTTATAATAGATGCAGTTTACTGACTCTTCGTCAGCATGGAATTAAGAGGCATCATTTATGAAGGCGCATGTGGGCGGGTTTTGTTGCTGAAATGATTTAATTCATACTGCTTCCCTGAAACGTTTATTTGTCCACCCTGAGCATACCCACAGGATGGGCTGGAAACCATCTCTGAGCTGACAGACACGCTGTAAACCAGTGGTTGCCCCAGCGCCCAGCCTCGACCGCTTTGGGGGCAGAGGAGAGGTGGGATGAGCAGCTCTGGGTGGATAGCTGCTGTACAATGAACACAAACAGAGCCGTGGAAGCTCCTCCAAACCCTCCCTTCCTGGGAGCAGGGCCAAAGGACTGCCAAGTGGGTTTGGAAGGAAATGGAACACATTTGAAGGTGTCCCTTGGACATCACTGTCGGAATTCTAACTGGTGCCACATAGGGGATGGGACAATAGAAGCACAGGAAAGGATGTCGGGGATCTTAGCGTGGAACCACTCCTCTTACTCCAGAGGAGACTGATAGAGAAGTGGCTTGGTCAAGGTCACTGGCTAGTTGGTGCAGACTCATCGCTTTTCCATTAGCCCCTACTGCCCCCTGACCTGTGGGCTTATACACACCTGAGGCCTCCGCAAAGATTTCCTATAGCTGGGTGGAACCCTGGCTCAGGGAGCCCCCCCCGCCCCGAGCTGGGGGCGACAAAACAGATCTCTTGCGGGCAGTATATGGAGAGTGCCAACAACTTTGCCTAACCTAGAGCTTCAGGTCCCAGTCCTGCCCTCTGCGTGTTCCAGCCCTGCGTGTCCAGAGGAGAGGAGACGAGACTCAGGGCTTTGTGTGAGAAGAGATAATCCTGAAGAGTGCCCTTGGCTTTCATCTGCAAAGAAAGCCCATCTGATAGTAAGGGACTCATCTGCGAGGGGACCCGGCACACTAATCGTTTCCATTTACTGAATGCTTCCTCTGCCAGATGCTGCATTTTATAGACGCGATCCAGTCATGTTATGAGTTGGGCACGATTAGCCCCATTTTACAGATGAGGAAACTAAGACTTCAGGAGTTTAGGTTAAATTGATTCCAAACTCTATGCATTTAACTTCTGCATGGCTTCCCCATGTGAATGTGGCCAGCTGGATATACTGCCGATGTTGTGGAGAGAATACGTAATTCTTTTGATAAATTTAAAGTATACAGTGGAGCTGTTTGCACTGTCCCTCTGTAAGTTTCTTGTCTTTAGAAGTTGTTCTTGTTTCCCATCAGCCCCCAGTACAAATATTCACCCTGGACACATGAAATTCAGTATATTTCTGTGCTAGAGCTGACATCACAGAAGTGGAGACTTCATCCTTTCACTAATTTGTGTATTGGGCTCCTCTGGTTTGTACAGTTACTCCTAGGCCAAGTAATAGAATGGCAACTGAAGACGTGGAGGGCACTGGGTCTGTCCTCAAGGATCCAGTTGGAAACTCAAAGCCGGTGCAGATCCTTCCATGGACTGTTCCTTAGAGAAAAACATCTTAAAGGTGGCCCCTGACCCATTTCTTGAAGGTTATGAGGAGCCATAGTGGTGGAGGGTAGCTTCCTGATGCAGGAGACCTGGGCTGGTGAGTGCTGGTTGATCCCGGGAAGAGGTTGCATTTCAGTTGGCCCATGTCTTCTCTCTGTGCCACTAGGACCTTCTGGCTCCCAGTCCTGAGTGTTTTTTTTTTTCACCATGGGAGTGGGGTTGGGGGAGGCTTTGCTGAACCCTGCTGTGGTGGTTCTGTTTCTAAATAGCCTGATTCAAAAAATGGCGTGTCTTAATCCTGTGTGGGATTTCCTGGGTTAGGCAGCAGTCCCTTTCGAGGCTGGCTGAAAGTGATCTCCTTCAGCAGGCTTCTCTTTCCTTGTTAACTTTTGTTAAATGGAGTCCACCTTTCAGTGGGTCCCCTTATTTCAGTCTTCATTTAAATTTCTGTGTTTTACTGATTTCTTGTCTCTTTCTGTTTCATTCAGAATCTTGAATGTGCCTTTTTTTGTTTGTTTAAACATTTATAAGTTTGGTCTTGACTGTTCACTGTTGTGGAAACAACTTGTAGTAACTTTGGACTTGCTTTTGATTGTATTTTTTAGACGATCCTACATCCACAATATAAAAAGAAAGAATTGTGCTCCATTTCTTCATGGATAAGTCTTTCTTAAAAATAATAGCTATTATGAACTTGATAACTTTGCAGAGATTTTGGGAATTACTAGAAGGTACAGAAAACAGATACCCATAATCCCACAACCCATAGATAGCACTGTAAATAGTTTTTTCTTTGTTAACATTAAAAAAGTGAACATTGAATTATATGCACGATTGCATTTGTTACTTTTTTCACTTGATATTTAACTTAAGCATTTTCCTATTCATTAAATGTTGTTCCACATTTGTGGAAAACACAGTGTTCCATCCTAATAATTTCCTTAATTATTCTTTTATTATTTCCAGCTTTTTTGGCTGTTAAAAGAATGCTATGATGAATAACTATGTAGATAAGGCTTTGTATTTCTGTGTGTGTGTGTGTGTGTGTGTGTTTAGCATACATTTCTAAAAGGGGAATTAGAATGCAGTTTAAATCTTAAGACCCACCAGGCTGAATCTTTGCATATTCAGTGCGCTGGGTGCCTACTAGGTGCTCTGTAAGTGGTTGTTGAATGAATTGACTTTTTCTGTAAAGTTGTAGTGCTGAAATCTTAGCAATTTATGCAGTGGCCTGTTTCACTTCATCAGCAGCAGCATTGGATATTATTTTTAAAACTCTTGCAGAATAAATTTGTAATCCACTGCTTAAGTTTTTTTCTTTTGGGTTGGCTATTTTTGGTTTATTTTGTATTTGTATTCTGTGAATTCTCTCTGTTTTTGCTCATGTATATGTTGTGGGTGTATATCTAAATCTCTGTATGTTAAGGATAGCAACCATTTCTCTCCTATTGGTTGCCTTTTCCCCCTTCCAATGGATTTGCTTTTCAATTTTATATAATTTAGAAATTCAGAAGTTTTGATTATTTTGATTAGCAAATCTGCTGTTCTGCTTTTCTTTTTGTAACTTTTTTCATTGTGTTTATTCTCGCGGCATGTTAAATTTTTATCTTAATGTACTTATTTTAGTATTAGCCATTTTGAGGTAAACATTTGTTGTACTTTTTGAGTGGTTTAATATCCTATAAACAAAGACTTTAAATGTTTCAAAAGTGTGATCCCCAGCCCTTCTGCATCAATATCACTAAGGGATGGGGCAGGTGCTTGTTAAGAATTTAGATTTCTGGGACTCACCCTTGACCTATATTAGAATCTTCGGTGGTGGTGCCTGGGAATCTTCATTTTTAACAAGCTCACAGTTGATTGTTAGGCACTTTAAACTTTGGAACCACTGATCCAGAGACTATACACCCAGTAATTGAAAATTAATAGCATTTTGGGGACACACCGCTTAATATCTTGAAATTGTCTTTTCATGATGAGAACAATTGATTTAAAATTATGATGTTGCAGTTGGGGTTTTTTTTTTTTTTTTTCCTATCTTGCTGGTTTGGTTTTCTTTGGGTTGGGAGTCAAAGGGCATAGAGGACTTCATTTTAAATTCTCAGTCCTGGCCACTGGGGAACAGCGGCTGCCATCTTTGTCATGAAATGCCTCACTTAATCCTGAAAACAGAACCCAGCCAGGGAGTTGTTAAAGTTCACCAGGGACCCGGGAGCCACAGGTTTTCTACCAGTGTGCCCTGGGTGCTAGGGGCAGCTAGTTACTGTAATTAGAATTACAGTAGGTTGATTCAGATGGGAAGATGCTGCTGTAACGGATCTAATTTGTTTTCCACGTTGTGACCACCCACCCCTTTCATCTGCAGCTCACAGTGACGTGATCTCTTTCTTGTGCTTAAGCAGCATGATTTGTTGGAAGGCTCACTGAGCTGTGAGCTAGCAGACCCGAGTGAGCTCTTCTCCGCTGATAACTTGCTTTGTGACTGTGGACGAGTTACCTTGCTCTGGGTTTCTTCATCGGTGTCAGAAGGGGTCGCTGAGATTATCTCTGAATGCCCTTTTAGCTCTTCTATTTCAGGTTATATCCACATGTTGGATACCTTGGAATGCACTTGTTATAGACAGCGACAGTCCTGTTTCTGTTGAATGTTTGTAGCACTGTCTGCCTGTCCTGTAGATGTTCTAGCCCAGTGACTTGCTGAAGGCAGTTCATTCTTTTCTTTTTTTAAAAATTTAAAAAGATTTTATTTATTTATTTGACAGAGAGAGACACACACACACAGCAAGAGAGGGAACACAAGCAGGGGGAGTGGGAGAGGGAGAAGCAGGCTTCCCGCAGAGCAGGGAGCCCGATGCGGGGCT